AATGGGCTCTTCCCATGTGACGTCACACTCCCGGGGTGTAGGAATAAACATTCCAACACCAACACGTGTTTCTACAGTGTGATAATCATAATCTTCTGTTCTCTCTATTTTTAATTTCTTTAATTGTACAAATAACACTATTTATAAACTTAGTGAAACACCGTAATATGTTACAAATTTTAATTCATTGACAATTTTGAATTATAGAGCGAAAATGAACGAAAGTAGACAGAATTGCAACAGTGATACTATGTTTATGAATGAAAATACTAAAGGTTTTAAGAAGTTTTTAGAAAATTTTGTGAGTAACGTAGAATTTGTTGACTTTGTGGGGGATAATAAGCATTAAAAAATTCAATTTAAGCATTTGAAATTAAGAAAACATTCAAAACAAAGGTTAGTTTACTGTTGTTTTCAACAAACACTAAAGACAAGTTTAACAGATTTAAAAATTTATACGATGCATCTATCCTTATAGTCATTGATACAGCACAATATCACTATATATAATCATTAATATTAAACAATATAATTAAAAATTTGCCTACCTTTAGTTATTGGTAAAGAAAAAATGTGTTATAGTTAAGAGCAAATCCCGACAATTAAGGATAAAAAAACAGAAAAGTAAAACGCGCAGAAAAAGCTTCGTTAAAATAAATTTATACAGAAGATTAATTATTTACTAGATTTAGATTAAAGCATAGCAACAATAAGATATTAAAGTGTTTTTAATAAAGGATAAAAGTAAACACAAATGTGAAAGATACAAGACGGTTATAGAATAATAAGAAATAAAAGCTTAGTTATTACGAAATAGGAAAAAAAATTTCTTTGCAAATATCTATTTACAAAATAAAGTGAAAAGTTTATGCAAAAAGAAATTTTTTTTAAAGGAACAACAAAGTAAAATTCAGTTTAAATTATGCGTCTGCATTGTAAGCAATGGACGTAGTCGGTCGGGCATTACAACACCACGTGACCAAACAGACGAAGTTGGGAAGAACCCATTGATTATGATTGAATGCCAGCTGTTTTAAAACCCTAAACTTTGGCAATCAGCTGAAAACGCCAAGAGCCTGGATGCCCGATTTTTGAGCGTGAGCGAAAATGGCGAAAACGTTTGAGCTGGTATGATGTTACGAATACGCTAGGAAATGCATACTTTTTACTACAATATTTTTATTCATGCAAAGTGATTTCTAGACATTGGGCATTAGTATTGCATTGTTTGCTGAATTATTATAAAATAGCTCTTGTGGTGTTGCTCTTGTGGCTAGCCATATATTGCAGTTACCTCACTACTGAAATCAGTAATTTTGCAGGTATCATTTTCGTAGCATTATTGTCTTATCTGTGTTTTAATTTAAAGTAAATAAAGAAAATGAAGGAAATAAAAATGAAAATATGACCACCAAAGCCGACTACTTCAGGGGGTACCGGCCTCGGTAGCCATAAAAACAAAACCATTTCTAATTGAGGGAGAAGCAAATGCTTAAATTAACTCCCTCAGTACCCCGATGGTTTTGTATAGAAGTCCAGGAAAAAAACATGCAATATAAATAACAAATTAAGAAAAGAAACTCAAACAAAATCATCAGAAAAATAAAAACTCACAGTCTAGTTTTTCTGAAATTTCTGCTGCTTTTTAGCGCATTTTTTTTTCAAAGAAGTTTTTTCTATTTAGAACTAAAAATATTTGTGTTTTCTTTTAGTATTTATTTAAAGTAAAAATTTTCGTTGTAAATTATAAAAAAAAAATTTTGTGTGTGTGTATTGAATTTTCTTGAATATTATTTGAAAGAAAATATGAATGACAGATAAATTATAACCTTAATAATACAAGATCGGAAGGAAACCACTGTTTTGTAATTTTTCTAACAATATTTTGCACCCTAAATTTAAAGTAACCATTAATGTTATCAACTTTCCATGTATGAATATGCTTAAATGGTATTAAAATTAAAATATTGATTTACATTTATTATATTG